CTAATTAGGAAACTGAACTAATTTCAATTAGTGTGAATTCTAAGTTTACTATTGTACTAACACCTCAAAAAAGGATGCAGCAAATATAGTATATGAAATTATGAAAGGAAAGATTTTCTCCATAATTTATGGGACTGCTTTAAGTTTGAAGTATCAGTCAATTTATAAAATTATTTTTATCTAACATTTTAAGTTATTCTCTGAACCTGAAAGAGATTTCCTTGCTTTAAGAATTTCCACAAACTAGGAGACTTCCCCTTCCAGGAAGACAAAATACATATTCTTTACCGCTATTCCTCCCATTGAGTACAAGTAAAAAAACAGGACATTATTTACAAAATAATGTAAGTCTCTAAAACACATGGCCGTGGGTTGGAATAGATTGAAGGGAACTGATTTTAAGGCTACATCAATATTTAAAAATCAAATAATGCAGTCCATTACATTAACAGGCTAAAGAAAAATCATCATCATTTCAATCAAGGCAGAAAAAATGATTTTGACAAAATTTAACATCTATTATCACAAAAACTCTCAGAAACAGAAATAGAGAAGTTCTTCAACCTGACAAAAAGCATCTATGAAAAACACACAAAAATAATACTTAACAATGAAAGACTGAAAGCTTTACACCTAAGACTGGGAAAAAGACAATAACAACTCCTCCTACCTCTCTTACTCAACACAGTGCTTTAAAGTTCTAGCCAGTTAAATAAGGCAAGAAAAAGAAATAAAATGCAAACAGACTGGAAAGGAAGAAAGAAACTGCCACTATGTGAAGATGACATCATTGTCTACACAGAAAATCCTAAGAATCTAAAAACATACTCCTAGAATTAATGAGTTAAGTATAGTCACAAGATACAAAAATACTTTATACCACTATATATTAACAATGAAAATGTGTATACAAAAATAAAAATTACTGTTTACAATTACTAAAAATAAAAATGAAATAATTAGGTGTAAAATCTGAATGTACAGGACTTGTATGGTGAAAATTACACACTGTTGATGAAAGAAATCAAAGACCTAAATAATTGGAGAGACATGTACTGCAATCATGGATTGGAAGACTCAACGTAGTAATAAACATGTCAGTCCTCCTAAGTCGATATAAAGGATTAAAGCAATTCCTATCAAAATCCTAGTGAGACTTTTTGTAGATATAAACAAGATTATTCTAAAATTTATATGGAATAGCAAAGGAACTTAAACAGCTAAACCTATCTGAAGAAGTAGAAGGGATCAATTTACCAGATTTCAAGACTTGTTATATAACTATAGTAATCTAAACTATTTGTGAAAGGAGAGAAACAAAATCAGTCCAACAGAAGAAAGAACCCAGAAATAGACCCACATGAATATGACCAAATGATTTCTGACAAATTTGATAAAGCAAATTAGTAGAGTAAACATAGTATGTATGTTCAATAAATACTATGTTGGAACAATTGGCCTTCCTTAGGCAAATAAATGAAACTCAATCTGAGTTTCATATTTTAGATACAATTCAACTCAAAATGTATGATTGACTTAATGTAAAATATAAAATTATTAGGAAAAAAAAAACATAGAAGAGTATCTTCAAAATCTAGTGGTAGATAAAGATCTCTTGAGTTGACAAAAAGCACAATCCATAAAAGGAAAAACTGATACATTGAAATTCAACAAAAGTAAAGCTTTTGCTCTATAAAAGACCCTATCAAGAGGATGAAAAGACAAGCTGTAAAGTAGGAGAAAACATCTCCAAACCACATATGTGACAAATGTCTAGTATGTGGCATACATAAAGAACCCTCAGAACTCAACAATTAAAAAATAATAATAATCCAATTGGAAAATGGGCAAAATACATGAAAAGACATTGCAGAAGAGGATATAAAGAGTCAAATAAGCACATAAAAAGCTGCTCTACATCATAACCCATTAGGAAAATGCAACTGAAAACCATAGTGATAGATATCACTACATACTTACCAGAAAGACTAAAATAAAAAATAGTGAAAACACTGAATGTTGGCAAAGATTCAAAGAAACCAGATTGTTCATACATGGCTGATGGAAATTTAAATTGTACAGCCACTCAGGAAAACATTTTGGCAGTTTATTAAAAAACTAAACATACCACATCATTCAGCAATGTCATTCTTAGGCATTTATGCCAGAGAAAAGAAAATCTATGTTTACACAAAAATCTATATGTGAATGTTTATAGCAGCTTTATTTGTAACAGTCAAAAACTAGAAATAAGTGAAGTGAAAGTTAATCTGTCATCCATATATACCATGGAATATTATTCAACAATAAAGAAGAATAAACTACTGATAATCATTAACAACCTGGATGAGTCTGCAGAGAATTATGCTGTGTGAAAAAGCCAACTCCACAAGGTTATATACTGTATGATTCCAATTATTTAACATCTTTGAAATGACAAAATCATGGATATGGAGAATAGATTGGTAGTTACCAGGCATTAAGAAGAGTCGAAACAGGAGGGAAGTGGGTATGAATACGAATTGGCAACATGAGGGATGATATGTTCTGTATCTTGACTATATCAAGGTCAATATCCTGGTTGTGATATTCTACTATAGTTTTAGAAGATGTTGTCACCATTAGGGGCAACTGGGAAAAGGTACATGGGATCTCTCTGTACAACTGCAAGTAAATCTGCAATTATCTCAAAATAAAAAATTTGAAAAATAATAAAATCCGAGTAACACCCAATGAATGTACAGTTTGACAAAGGTACACGATGTCACTAAAATGTCCAGAAAAAAAAGGACCTGTTGTTAATTGTTACGGCCTAGATAATTCTGAAATGACAACAAAAAATTATACATGCAGTTATACATGTATGTATGTATGTAGGAATATATATTTGTATTCCCCAAAGTCACTGCCATCAAGTCGATTCTAACTCATAGTGACCCCCACAGGGTTTCCAAGGTTATAAATCTTTATGGAAGTAGACTGATTGCCTCATCTTCCTCCCACAAAGCAGCTGGTGGGTGTGACCTTCCAACCTTCTGGTTAGCAGCCAAATGCCTTACCTATTGTGCCACCAATATTTGTAGAGATATGTATAAGCATGGATATGACTGCACATACATATATACACATATGTACTAAAAGAACATAGGAGGCACAGTTAAAGATACTTCTTAGACATAACTAAATACCTCATGGGAGGTTTTCTATATTTGAAGGATTAGGGCCATCACCTCACAGCACATCTTAGTCAACTGGCAAAATTCATAAAGTTATGTTCTACATCCTAGTTTGCTGAGTAGTGTCTGTGATCTTAAAAGCCTACAAGCAGCCATCTAAGATACAATTACTTATCTCTACTTATCTGGAGAGCAAAAGAGAAAGAAGGAAATCAAAGATTCAAAGAAAAAACTAGTCTACAGGACAAACAGCCTACCCAAACCATGGCCTCATCTACCCTGAGACCATAAGAACTACATGGCACCTGGCTACCACTACCTGCCATTCTAATCAGAGACACAATAGATGGACCCAGACAGAATGGGAGGAAAAATGTGAACCAGAACCTCAAATTCCTAAAAGGCAAAACAGACTTACTGGGCTGGTTGAGATTGGAGGACTCCCCAAGATTACTGCCCTGAGATATTATTCAAATCTTGAACCAAAACTAAACCCTGAGGTCACACTATAGCTAAATGACAGACTGGTTTACAAGAAAATAAGTATCACTTATAACTACAGTATGCCTTTAAAAAATTACCTATATAGGACCTAACAGTCAATTACTTTAAGACAAAAATGAGAAGGTAATGGGACAGGGAAACCAGATTTATGGAAACAGAACCACCAGAACAGAAATAATGAGAATGTTTATCCATTGTGAAGAATGTAACCACTGTCACTGAACAATGTGGGTAGAAATTGTTGAATGGGAACCTAAACTGCTATGTACACCTTCACTGAAAACACAATAAAACATTATTAAAACAACAAAAAATCCCCTACTCACCTTTAGCCTGTTTCTTGTTTCTGTAGTCTAACACATATACTTCAACAAAATAAAAATAGATTACCTTAAAATACTTTATACCAACTAGGTATGCCTTTTTATTTTTTAAGTTTACATACTCTTAAGCACATGAAGTCTGGAGCTAAAATTTTTCAATGAATGCAATGCCTTATTTATCCACTACTGAAAAAAACAAACCCACAGCATTAGAGTCAATTTTGACTCACAGCAACCCTACAGGACATAGTAGTAAGACCTGCCTCTTAAAGTTTTGAAGGTTGTAAATATTTAACCACTGTGCCATCAAGATTCCTCTCATTTACTGAATAATACAGGTAAAAAAAAAAAAAAAAATTCTATTTAATTTGACAGCTCATCAAATAATAATAATAAAACTTGAGTATTATGAGCCAAGCACTTTGCTAAATATTTTACATTAATTATTTTTTAAAATCTTTAAAACAATCCTATCACTAGGAACATAAACTATCTTCCCCAATATATTCTTTTATTTATTTTGTATCTCATGTTTTTTTTTCAAATTGTACTACACACAGCCCCTGGTTTCCAGTCACAGCCAAATGTAATACCCACACATCTTTAGATGATCAGAGCAGGTATGGACATCAAAACCAAGGGTAGTTCATCCACAAACTAGCCACCTGAACTGTTGAACAAAAATATGTGAGTTGCTTCCAATGCTTCTCTGCTTTCTGATATGTCATTTTAAGAACTGAGCGCATACATAGTATATTGTATTATAACAGTGTTAACCTCAGGAGTCCTTTGCCCTTGAATGGTCTCAGATTTTATCCTTACATATGTTTCTGTTAGCCTAATTAGTTATCCTTAGTCTACCTTAACAGGTATCTCCTTGTAAAGTGATACGGTCTTCCCTTCTATGCTGTTGCTATATTCTGAATGGTCAGATTTGATAGCACTCTGACCCCTAGAGAAATAAAGAAAACCTGTGTAATATAAATTCCACACTCACCTGGAAGTTGTTCATTAGACCATAAGAACATGGACTGCTTTCACAAGATGAAAAGTCAAAGTTTAATTTGCAGGCTGCAGAAGTACAGTTTGTTAACTCTGCCACAATAGTATCATTCATGTTCCCAGTGGCATCCCGAACAACACAAGAACCTGAAGCACAAGTGACAATGAGAACAAATAATATAGCTAACATCTACATTCATCTCAGAATTACATATATCATAACAATACTATAGTACTACATACACACTTGCTTTTAATAGCACACATTGCATTTATACTTAACATCTACACTGTGAACAGAATTTGGAAAGCATTATGTTCCCCAATTTTTAAATAGCGAAATGTGACCTTTCATAAATAGAAGTACAGGCAGTTCTCAGGTTACGAATGATATCCACTCATAACTGGGTCTTTATAAATTCAAGGTCAGTTAGAATAATCACATGAGATTCTAATTTAGCCTTACTTTAGTGCAAGAAAGGAGCCCTGGCGGCACAGCAGTTAAAGCACTCAGCTGCCAGATAAAACGTAATTGGTTTGAACCTGAAACCTGCTCTGTTGGGAGAAAGATGAGGCAGTCTGCCTCTGTAAAGATTTACAGTCTTGGAAGCTTTATGGTGCAGTTTTACTCTGTCCTATAGGGTCATCATTAGTTGGATGACTAGTTGGGATTAAAGCCTTTCCAGTGGTTTAAAGGGCACATAACAACAGTGGTTTAAAAGCTGCAACAGCAGAAGGTGAAGATAACTGTAATGAGTACGTTAGAGGCTAGTTCAATTATTTCAAAGAAGGGCAAATTTAGATAGCATTAAAGGGCCATTTCTTGGATGTTCATAACTGAGAACTGCCTGTAAATCACACATTTAAAAAGTTTAAATGTAATTGTGAAGGATGGTATATCAGAAGAACTTTTTCCTAGTCTATTTTATTAAGAAGATTGGGCAATCTACGTCCACAGTCATACTGCCTCGGAAACCCAAGAAGGGTCACTATGAGTCGGACTCAACTCGATGGCAGCGAGTTTGGTTTGGACTTTTTTGGTAAGCAAATACAATAAAATTGTGTCAAAACAGTTTCAAACGTCTCTAAATGTTTTATATCTGAAGCTTAGCCAAAGATGAAAGTGCTATGAGGGAAAGCTATTTGAATATGAATGAACTATAATTCTATTTATATCAGTGTCTCACATATGTCTTCCGTGACAACAGGAACATATAAGGTACCCAAGATTTGCTTAAAATTAACCCATGGGGCACAGTGACTGGTTATAGATGAAACAAAATTAACTATGTATTAATAATTTTTCTAACTTTTCTGAAATTGAGTGAGTTACATTGGGTTCTTTCAATGATGCTTTCCACTTCTGTGTAAAACTGAAATCTTTCATAACAAAACATTTAAAAAGCCATCTTGAAACAACATTTCCTTATTTGGAATAACATGATGTGCATTCCTCAGACTTCATATATTATTTTCTGAAGTACTTTAACACTATTCCTAGACCATAAATGAGGTAAAAAACTAAATGCAATTCAAAATCTGAACACTAAATGGAAAACTAAATATATCTTAATGACTAGACCAATTACAGAAAGTCTTTACACTTAAATTTCTTCATCTAAATTTCTTTCAGAACCATGTTTGCAAAACTATGTTCCCCTAAAAGTATCTCTGAAATCATTGTGGGAATTGGGTGCAGAGCAAGGCTGTGTGTCTTCCATCAGCCCTAAAAGCAGCTAATATTTTGTGTATCTCATATTCCGATGTTCTACACCTATAATTGTTTGGAACAAGAGTTCCACTGCTTTGAACTAGTTTACATAAACACTGGTCTAGGTGTCTTAACTGGCTCAGCTAAGGAACATAAAGGGGAATGGGCCTCTCCTTATTGTTCCAACGTACAGACAGAATGAAATGAGTATGAGGGCCAAATAAAAACAGAAAATGTCTACCTGCTATAACAAATTATTTTCCAAAGTGAAATATACTCAATTATATTAGTCTTCAAATTAAACTGAAATTTTATTTAGTTTATTTATATGTTAAGGTTTACAAATGTTAGGAACTCAGGCAAACACAAAATATTTTTGCTAAACTTACATATACAATTCATTTGATTTTTCAAAGTAAATTTAAGATATTTAAGTATGGACTATAAAAGATAATTTCCAAATTCCTTTTTTAAGATGTAATTTAACCCAAAATAATACTGAAAATGCCGTTTCTAAAACTCAAATTTCAAAATCACATTTACACAAATAGCAGCTGATAAAAATAATCCTGTTAATTACTTCTCATCAAATTGCTGTATAGTAAAATGGAATTTTCTTACTAATATACAATGGAAACCTCAGATTTTAGAGTCTATGAATTGGAGTTAGTGATAGATGGGTATTACACTAAGATTTACTTTTGTAGTATGTGTGAGAAAAACTATCTCCTGTTCAGGGTGATGGTAACTTTGTGGTTGTGTTGTTGTTGTTAAGTGCTGTAGAGTCGGACCCGACTCATAGCGACCCCTCCTTGGGTTTCTGAGGCACTATCACTACGGAAGTAGACTGCCCCATCTTCCTTCCAAGGAGTGGCTGGTAGGTTTGAACCATCTGCCTTCTTGTTAGCAATCAAGTGCCTTAGGCACTTTGCTACCAGATGGTAATTTTAGTAACAAATATTGGTGATGGTTATATAATACGACCGCTATAACTAGTGTCACTGAATTGTACACATGAAAGATGCTGAATGGATAATATTGTATTATCTAACTTTGACTTTCAGAGTTCAGATATCAAAAACAATATTAATATTTCAAGAAAATATGTTTTTTGGGTAAAGTATGCAGTTTCATGAAAATGTAATAAACTTAAGACAATCTATCTACAGTCAATGAATGCAAAATATATGCAAATTGTTAGTGTTAGCTATTACAGGAAAAGCCTCCAACTCATGGCCACCATATGCACTATGGGTGAAACTCCATCTACACTGCTGCTATTGTAGGGTTTTCAAAAAGTGGCCACTTTTCAGAAGTAGATCACCAGGCATTTCTTCCTAGTCCATCTTGGTCTGGAAGCTCTGCAGAAAGCTGTTCAACATCACAGCAACACACACCAACAGAGGGGCAGTGGCTCTGCATAAGGTACAATGACCAAGAATTGAACTCGGTCTCTTACATGAACCACCAAATCTGATAATTGATAGCTATCAAATTTTACAACAAAATCTTCCAGAATAGAATGTTTCAACAAATTTAAGAACCTACTGTTGTAGTTAATACCTTTTAAAGATGGTTCATTCATAAAACAGGATTTAAACATTAACCACTTAAGTTCATTTCATACTTTAAATAGTTGGTGTCTATGAAGTATGTGATTCTTTACATGGTATTACACTAAGATTTAATTTTGTGAATCTTAGTGTAAAAATGAATATAATAAATGATTTTAAAACCAGTCATTCAATACAGTAAGACTTCAAATTCAATTTAGTATTATGTTCTGTCCTGTTAGTCCAAATCAGTGTTTTACAGTAAAAAATGTGAGGCATTATTATATAACCTTGGAACAATCTTCATATAAGGTTATATGATGTATAAAATAACCAACAAAAAAAAAATAAACTCAGAAATTTCTAAAGATCAGAGGGTCAAAGGCATTTGCAACTACATATGAATTATGACATTTTAAAATATAGCTTGGTTAAAATTTATGATTTTGCAGAAAGGATATTTATATAATTCCTTAATTAATGAAAATTCTTGGGGGGCAAACAAAGCATTTGGTAGTTTAGATACTGTCTATAAAAATCATTAACAGTTTTTTATAAAATTTTTAAGATTTTGTCATTTTATTATTTTATTGAAATATTTCTCAATTTAAAAGTTAGAAATTGAGCATCATGAAAATAAGTTTTTATAGTTATGTATATCATGAATTCTCTGAAAGACGTAAAGAAACGTAAGGCTATTTACCTACAGATACTGCAATTCCTACGTAAACCATCGTAGTAATTAAAATGGCTAAAAGGGTTCCTTTGGGTATGGCTGACTGAGGATCCTAAAAGACAAGAAAATTTTTTTAAGTCTATCTTTAGGAATAAATATACATACACCATTTTTTTTTTCCCCCCAAATCATCAATACAGTACTTTATAATACTTACTGCAAGATCACCTGAGATATTTGCTCCAGCCAGAATACCAGTTGCAGCAGGAAAAAAGATGGCAAATACAGAAAAGAAAGTCTCTTCCTCTCTAAAATCTGGCCCAAAGTTCTCATTAAATATTTCTGCTGTGGAGAACAAAATGTTTTTGGCAATTAATAGATAGAAGATTGGGACCATAATAATTTAGATCAAGAGTAACTAACTAACTGGTATAGATGATGCACAACTTCTCAATTTCTCATCAGTAAAGTTTTTTAGGTTTCATAATAATCTAGTGGTAAATTATTACAGCCAAGCATTACTATTGGCCTTTTCTTATATGAGGAAATAGTTCACAAATGATTATTTGATCTGAGCCCCTACCCTGTTTTGATACATCTTACTAATTTTTTTAAAAATATACTTTTTTGTGTTTTCAGTGAAAGAATACACAGCAAATCAGGCTCCTAAATTATCTATCTGTATAGATAATTTCCACACAAATTGTTCAGTGGCATGAGTTACATTTTTCAGGATCTGTCAATATTATCTATGTTGTAACTGTGTTCTCGTTGTTCTGTTTCCAGTGCTGTGCTCTAGTTGCCCTGTCTCCTTATCTTCTCATCTTGCTTTAAAATAATTATTGAGCTTCTGGTTTCATATAGATGGTTTTTTAATAGAACACCATATTCATGGGTAATATCCTTTATTTTATGTGACTAATTATGTTTTAAGCACTTCTAATAAACATTATCATTAGTCTAAGTGTAAATCAAAGCATAGGTAAATCTCTCAATCTGAGAGGTCAAAGAAAGAAGAAAAAGGGTAGGAAACAAAAGGAATATCATACTAACATGGAACCCAGAATTTTTTTCTCCCAGAACATCCAACTTACATTATTATCTATAGACTTCTATCCATGACTTTCTCTCTTTCCTAGTTGTGACCCATTTGACGTTTGAGAATATTCATTGGGCTGCTAAATTATTCACGCTAAGGTACCCCAGGTAAACATTCTTTCCATTTGAGCAATAAAGCAAAGCTCCAAGAACTCTTAATATCTTAACCAATTCTGAAAGGCAGACACCAACACTTAACCAGCCAACTGAATGTCATATAGCCATGCACCATCTGAGCATCTATCATGTGCCAGGTCCTATACTAGAGGTGTCTGCCACTTCAAAGTATCAAGAGGTACAATATGAACAAGATAGAAGGTCATATGGAATGTCAAGTCTCACTAACGAGTCAGGGAATAAGAAAAAGATAGTAACAAATTACAATAAATGTACTGATGAAAATGAGGTTTAATGATAAAGAATAAATGAGGAAGAATTTAACTTATTGTAGTTAGAGAAGCCTAAATAGATAGAATGAAGGTGATACAATTAATCTGAGACTCCAGTAAACAAGAATCAGCCATGTGATGATCAGAGGGAACGAATATACCAATAATAAGAAACAAAAGAGATAAAGGCCCTTACATACAAAAAGTTCATCTCTTTTGAGAAAGTTAATGAGGGTCAAGCTATTAGTGAGATGGGGGATGAAATGACATTGGAGAGATCAGTGGGGATTAGACTTGCAAAAATTAATAGGAGTTTAGAACTACCATCTTATGTTACTAAGAATGAAAAATGAAAGAAGTAAATAAAAGGGATTTTTCTCCAATTCTGAAGGACACAAAACTAAATTAAATTGTATATTAGTATAAGTCATGGACCAAACTCTATTACAATAGAAAATATTTAAAATGCACTAAATTTGTTCAATTATAAAATGGTTTGGTACACTGTCAATAAACAGATAGATGAATAAACTACATAATGGAATACTATTCAGCAATAAAGACAAATGAAGTTCTGATATATACTATGACATAGATCAACCTTGAAAACATCATGTTGAGTGAAACAAGTTAGATACAAACAGGCAAATAGTATATGATCCTACTATTATAAAATACTTTTAATACGCTAAAGCTTAGAGTTCAAAGTTTATTAGCAGTTTACCAGTGAATGGGAAATTATTACTTTTAAGGAGTTTCTGTTTTAGGTGATGGAAAACTTTTGGAAATGGACAGTGGTGAAGGTGGCACAATATGGTGAATGTAATTAATGCCACTGAATTGTACACTTAAATGGTTAAAACGGCAAAACAAACAAAAAATGCTTTAGTACTTACAACATCTGAGATTTCAATAGCAATGAATAACATTAGCTTACATTGAATAATAAAATGCTAAAATATGCACCTTAAAAAAAATTACCTCTATTTTACTTACATTTATAACCAAAAAAACCTTTGGGCTTCTTGTTTTCCAATGGGATAAATGTTCCTATGATGAAATCAGCAATAGCAAGTAGTAAAATCACCAAAAGAACAATTTGAGCCTGGAATTTTAAACGTTAAAAATCAAAATCCAGTATCTTGTGAGTATACGTTAATCTAGTTCCACTAGAATATAACATCCATGAGGGAAAGGATTTCCTGTTTCCCTATGGCCTCAAGCAGTCCCAATCACAAAGCAGATGCTTAAAGACTTTTGTTAAATTAACGAAATATTCTAAAGAACTATCCTAGAGAGTTCAAGACACCAGAAAAAAAAAAAAAAAGATAGCAAAAGTAGAATTATGCCACATATTTTTGAAATGACTAGAAGATATGTGTGCCCTCCTACAAGCCATAAGGGATCACTACAAATTCCTAAACACTGTAGGCTTTTCATCCTGCATCATTCTTTCCTATTCCTTCTACCCTACCATTGAAATCTTCACATGACAGTATATTTGACACAAAAACAGGTTTTATTCCAGGTGCAAACAACACGTGATAGTACAGGAAAGGGGGAAGAAGAAAAGGTATAAAAAGAGAGGACAATGCCCTGTTGGAGAATTCAAGTGGCAATGGGATTGGACAAAAGAACAATCTATAAGAACTACCAACACCCCTCCTCCACTTTTAACCAACCAACCAACTTGAACACACATTCATGATAAACTGTGTATCTACAGGAATAAGAACTACTTATATGCTAATTGTGCCCCAGATAGTATGACAATTTATTCTTTCAATAAAATCAATTTGTTAAACATATAAATAAATGATTTCATTTTATACTTGTATGACTTTAAAATAAATAATAAACTTGGAAAAATTATTCTTTCAGACTGTTCTAATTTTTGGTTAGGTAACTATTATAAAAGCTTATAAATAATACACATATCTGACTTTAACATGATCTACCAAAGTAAAGCTGAAAAATGTAGAAGGGACTTTGTGGTTCCTCATTAGCATCTTTGTGGATATCCACTACTCAGGAAACTAGAGCTGTGCAGTAACATACCCTAACTTTCAAAGATACAGAAATATTTTTGGAGGCAGGAGGTGGTAGCTTTTCCAATAGGTTAATACATGACTTCAGTAGATTTTCTGGAAACAGTGGCACTGGCTTTGGTACCCATGACTTCTGATATTTCAACAGCCAAGGAGTAAGAATAGCCTTAGATGGGTATTAACTTTCAGTTTATAGCCCTGTGCTTATTTTTAAATTGACATTTAAATAAATTACGAAGCTAAAAGTTTCACTTGGGCTATCTAATATACTGACTTGAACATTTCCAGAAAAGTGCAAGTAAGGATTGGGGTGGAAAGGTAGGAAGTTTAATATTTAGGAAGTAATGTTTAACTGGATCCTATACTGACCACTATCTCCAAATAATTCCCATCTTGTCAAATAGAGAAAAAAAACCTTATACATAAACTTCTGTGAAAATGGCCACTGAGGGATTACAAGAATCTGAAATACCAATGCAACTGAACATTCCCCAAACATAAGCTCTTAAAGTTCACATATTAAGTATGTACAGATGTTTCTGTCATTACTTACTTTTGCTTCCCATTCCATTCCAGCTACTGAGATACCTAAAAGTATCACTACCGTAATGGCTCCAATAATTCGTATATCATTGATTTCATCTATCATAAGTATAGAATGTTCCTAGAAAAAGATAATTACAAATTGAATGCGCATTAGTTATTTTACATAAACTGTTTATTTTTTTGGGGGGATATAATAGTATCTTAAATATAGAAACTGAATAAATGTTTATTTAATGAATTAATAAACCAAAACCAAACCCACACAGCCATTGAATTGATTCTAACTCACCCTACAGGATTCTAAGCAACCCTACAGATCAGAACAGAACTGCCCTACAGATCAGAACAGAACAGATCAGAACAGAACTGCCCTACAGATCAGAACAGAACTACAGGCTTTCTAAGGCTGTAAATCTTTATGGAAGCAGATAGCCCTATCTTTCTTCCACAGGATGGCTGGTGGGTTCAAACTGCTGAACTTTCATTGGCAGCTGAGTGCTTTAACCATTGTGCCACCTCAATGAATATGTAGATCTAAAAAAAAGTAGTTACTTACTATTTACTACTGAGGTTTCTTTCAAGTATTTGATGACAACAAAAATAAGATCAAATCATTAAGGGTGCCCAATCTTCCTTTCAAGGGGGTGGCTGGTAGGTTTGAACTGCCAGCCTTCTGGTTAGCAGTCAAATGCCTTAGGTACTCTGCCACCAGAGCTCCTGTATTTCATGTAGACTAAATAAAACAAGTAATAAGCTAATAAAAAGAAAAATCATAGAATGACTAAGTAGTGCTGATGGTTATGATTTTTTAAAGTTATATGGCAGAAATATATTTTGTATCCATTGTAATTAGTGGACTCATGGTTTTAACGGGACTTTCATGTTGCATAAGGAAAACAGATTAACACACCTTCATGCTGTTGTCCAAAAACAGTTCTTATCCTACGAGCAAAAGTATTTGTAGTTTAATTATCAACAACATTTTTTTAAAGCTCCCATTTAGATCAAAATAGTTAAGGATTATGATATTCTAGTCAATCAGGTAAGTAACTATGTATGAATTACTACTTTTCAAATAATGTAATAAATGTCAAAACACAAACTATAAAAAATATTGTCATCTTTTGATTTGTCATCAGGATAACTGCACCATATCGTGACTAAAGAAAGTGTCGATTAGGATTTTACAAAGTTGTCTTTAAAAAAATGAAAAGTAGTTTTATTAAAGCTTTTTTTTTTTAAAAAAAAAATCTCATAAAAGTCAACTACCATAAAGAAAACAAAATCCATCTGAATTACAGACGGATGAGCTTAATATAAAACCTAGTGAAAAAAATACAGATCCAAAGATATTCTTGCCAGTCAAAGAGAATATGACAGGAAAAGTAATTCCTTGGCCTTTCTGAACTCTACAGGATCCCACTTAGTTTCATAAAGCCAGTGTGTACTTTTACGTTATAAAAAATCCTTACTGTTGTTGAAGTTTAATTTGATATCTATTGAATTAATCTGATTTTCTCTGTAGTATCTGGATAATATTTGAAAATTACTTGTAGAAGAGAAAAAATGGTAGTAGATAAATTTTATCTAACAACTGGCTTTTATATTCATAGACCTCTATACAGTACAGCTGTAGCTCAGTATTTTTATATCAAATCTAGTTTTAAGTACTTGGTTTGAATTTGGTTAAATAGGTCCTGATTTCATTTTTCATGAAACAAAAGCATTTTTAAAAAGTTAATTAAAGACAGTGATAAGAGTTTACAAAGCTGGTAAGGGACAGGTCAACACAAAATGATCAAGGCAAAGGAAGTCACTGGAGGAGTGCAAGAGTTAAAGACAACAAAGGTAAATACTATTTAAAATATCCAATCTTGCAACAACAGTAATAACAATATTCTATGAATAGATATACAGACAGACACAGAAGCTAAACAGGGGTGGGAATGTGAATAGGACTATACCCACAAATATATATAGGTTTGACACAGGATGTTTCATATGTATTGACATATGCCACAAACATATCCATGAATACTGTAGCGTATACAAGAGGCCAAGTTATGAAAACTTCTTAGCCATTACCAAACCCAGACACCTTGAGGGAATGAGTTGCTGGGCTTGGGGAGTTAGGATCACAGTCTCAGGGGACAGCTAACTTAACTGACAAAACAAACTTTACAAGTTAACTTTACAAAAGCAATGTTTTACATCCTGACAAAGATAATATTCTACATCCTACTTTGGTGAACAGTGACTGCAGTCTTAAAAGCTAGCGAGTGGCCATCTAAGGTGCAACATTCATCTCTCTCTGTCAAAAGCAAACATGACTGAAGAAAATTTCAAAGCATGGAAACAAATAGTCCAAAGGACTGATGGACCACATGACCCTCAGCCTCCTTAACCCTGAAGCCTAGATCGTAACCAGCTACAACTGACAGTTTTGATTGGGGTAACAATAGGAGGTCCTGGATAGAGTAGAAAATGTAGAACAAAACTCATCACAATAAAAATGACCAGGCTTACTGGTATGATAGAGAGACTGGTAGATCCCTCAAGACTACGGCTTTGGCACTTTTCAGTCCTGGAACTGAACTCACCTTTCGTGAAATGATAAACAGGCCTATAAGGTGAACAAAACATCAGGAAAGTATGCCTTCCTTAGAACAATCATACAAGATTAAAAGGGCATCATTTTCCCAAGTATAAAGTTCAGAAAGCAGGAAGGGACAGGAAGGAAGGAAATGAAAACAGTAAACATAGGGAGGAAGTGGGAAGAGTGCTGTTACAATGTCAGAATTGCAATCACTGTCACAAAACAAAATGTGTATGAATTATTGAATGGAAAACAATTTGCTCTGTAAACTTTGACCCAAATTACAATAAAAAGTTTTCTTTAAAAAAAAGAGCTCACAAAGTAAACTTTAAACTTTGAGTCCTGAATAAAAGCATATACTAAACAATGATTAAACTCTAATGATTATATTACTTGCTTAATCAGAGCACTTAATTTTCAATAGCACTTTGACCTACATAGGTGAAGTCAATACCATGTAGGTGTCAGTCCTTTTCAGATTTTATACTTCTTAAAGTACCACAAAGGAGTCCAGGTGGCACAGCAGTTAAAGCACTCTGCTGCCAGCCAACAAAGTGGACAGTTCAAACCCACCAGATACGGCAGTCTACTGCCCCAAAGGTTACAGCCTTGGAAACTCTCTGCCACAGTTCTACTCTATAGTAGAGTTTCACAATGAGTCAGAATCGACTGAAAGCGATGGGTCTGGTGGTTTTGATTTAATGTACCACATATTACCATAAAAGAAAAGAGTTATAGCCTAACCTAACATGAACAATTACAGGTGTTGATCAAGGTTCTTCTCATCTAATTATACAGAAGAATCCTATTTCACTCCTACTGCTTCAATTACATACATCCCAATGACTCTTGATTTCATCTCTTCAAGCATGTTCTCTTCTAAACTCCAGATCAGTATTATCAATTGCCTTCTGGCCAGCTCACCTTGGCTATAACCCTGGTTCCTTTTAGCACATCTAAAAGGAAACTCTCCTGTGTTCTCTCACAATAAATGGTATTACCCTTCACCTAACTGCTGTAGCAGAAATTTGTGTATAAACTGGAAATTTTCCTATTTCTCTACTTCCCTACTCTAATCAATTATCAAGTTCTACTTACTAAACTTCTTTAAAATCTCTCTAATTCACCCACACCTCTATAGCCCAGTGGGCCCTGTTTTAATTTAAGTCACCACCTCTCCTGTGAGGGCAGCTACTCTGAAGTGATCACTGTCTCCAGTTCTGATCCCTGGAACCCATTCTCCATACCGTGGTCAGGTATTTTTCTAGGGCTCAAATTTGATCATGTTTTGGACCTCAACTCCAATCACTATGTTGTTGTTATGTGCCGTCGAGTCGGCCCCAACTCATAGTGACCCCTCCTTGGGTTTCCGAGGCAGTATCACTACGGAAGTAGGATTGCCCAACCTTCCTTCCGAGGAGTGGCTGGTGGGTTTGAACCGCCAGTCTTCTGGTTAGCAGTCAAGTGCTTTAGCCACTATGCTACCAGAGCTCCTCCAATCACTATAAGACCTATAAAAGCAAAAGAAAAAAAAAAAAATCTAACTGACTGTAGTCAGTCAGCTCCGACTCACAGCGACCCTTCCTTGGGTTTCCAAAGTGGTATCACTGGAAGTAGACGGCCGAACCTTTCTTCCAAGGAGTGGCTGGTGGGTTTGAACAACCAGCCTTCTCGTTAGCAGTCAGATTCCTTAGGCACTACACCAAACACTTATAAATTGTACTTATAAATGGTAAAAATGGCACACACACACAAAAAATAAATAAAAGATTCAAACTTAAACTACAAACAAGACCTTTCCTGACTTGATCTTGTCATTTTATGATCCAACCACACCAAAACAGTCAGTCTCCCTTATGAACTACAGTCTACTACTTCCAGGTTTTTGCTTCCTTTACTTCCCTATTCCCCTCCTACCCCAGCCCATCACTCCTCTATATCTGCATGCTTATATCTAGACTCCCTTCATCCTTGAGCTCTCCAACCACCCATATTCCTGAAATATTAAGTGCCTCCCCAACCACTGTGTTGCAAAAGCCTCCCATATCTACTGACTTCTCATATTCTATAATAATGCTTTTGTCTATGCCCCTGTAGTGCAGAGAATTACTTGATATAACTCTTCTAGCCATGGCCTTTGTGACTCCCACCAGATGACTGGGTGGGGCTATGCAAATATGAGGTACTCTGTGGCCTTCCAAAGGGATTGGATAACATTTTAGTAATGGGGAACATGGACCCTTGTGGGGGTGGGGCCATGGAAATAGGGCATATGGAACCCTAATGCAAGGATTGGTTAGTTTTGTCGTTTCTGTAGGCTTAAAATGAGCCATCACAGAGGTAGAAAAGGGGATCTCACTACTCTTAATAAAGACAGAGAGCTGCCAAGAATGGAGTGCGCCCTTGGATCTAAAATCCCTGTGCAGAACTATGGCAGAGAGATGGTGGCAGCAGATAGCAGAACCGGGAGCCTGGCTTGAGTAAGAGCAGCAGGCTTGCCAGTCCACAGAGTGAGAAAGCTGAGTGTCTTTGTGCAGGCGGCTTGCTGGAGGAGTGGAATGCACCTAACGGCAGAGTTAGAAGAGCTTTGCAACCCTTACCCAAGCAGGGCAGAGGCCTGGCCAAGAGGCCAAGGGCCAAAGAGAGGCGTGCCTGCAGCTATGGCTGAAGGGAGGCTGTCCTAATTAGGAATTATAGCCTGAGCATTCATGAACCTGAACTGTAACCTGTTGCTTCCCTAACAAGCCCCATAATTGTCAGTATTGTCTGTGAGTTCTGCGTGGCCACTGCAGTGAATTATAGAACCCAGCAGAGAAGTAGAAAATTCCATGAGAGGAACAGTTGGTGTCAGAATTGGTGAAAAGGTTGGAGAGTGGCGGCATGTCTGGCCTCAGGCATAAGCCCTGGGCTGCTGATGGCAATTTTTTCTCCCATTTGTAAAATTAGAAGTCAGAGGATGCCACCCCTTTGCCCTTTCTGCAGCCCTCCACTAAAGGTCTTTAGGGACAAATTTCTTGTATATCACTGCTTTTCAAACATCTAACAGAGTAAGTGCCACACAGCCCTCCATACAAATTTGGTTAATAAGTGAATTTACCAAAGAAAAATTTCAAAGAAAAGTGAATTACCTTAAGCAACTCAACCACAGTTTCTGCAAATCCAACCACATACATAGCAACTGCAACAGCATTAGCAAAGGCGAAGATCAGGCCAATTGCACCACCGAATTCTGGCCCTAAACTTCTAGATATTAAATAATATGCTCCTCCTAAAAAAAAAAAAAAAAAAAAGGAAAAAAGAAGTATTGATAGTAAGATTTAAAACACCAAATAATTTTATTTAAAAATGTTTAATTCCACAAAAGCGATCACAAAGGAGATGCCTAGAAGAAGCACAGAAGTCAAATCAATAAGCAAGTGGATGAGTCAATTTCCAGGAAAACATCCCGGACAGAATACTTCACAACCCATTTCATTCATTAAGTTCTCAACATCCAGAGAACTCTCCCCATACCTAATATTAGTATAACCCTGGTAATTAAATCCTTATTTTCTCTTCTCAAGCTTAGATTCAAATGGGCAACACCTAATCAGCTTCCTTATCATATTCATAGATATTAAGATCATTTACTAGTGATTTTCTAAATAATATCTTTAATCCTCATGTAACCTTTAAAATCACAGTTGAGAATAATTTGTGAGCAGAAGTAAATATAAATGCTAAATAGGTATGGGACATTGTACAGGTCTACACTTGTGTGCAAATATAGGTACAGTCATCAATTTTCAACATACGTATTTTTATATGCTGCATGAACATTCATATACATAACAGAACATCTAGAGGACACAGCTCTGAAAACTTCTTAAACATAACCAGTCATCTCACGGGATTGAGCTAGTAGGCTTGAAGGCTATGGACCATAGTCTCGGGATGATACAGATCAATTGGCCCAACACAGTAAAGACTATGTTCTACATCTTAGTTTAGTGAGTAGTGTCTGAGCTCTTAAAAGCCTTTGAGTGGCCATCTAAGATACAACTGTTGGTCTCTTCATAACAGAATTAAATTAATGCGCTTCCATATATACTCAGAATGTCTAGCATCTTAATTTGCAACCTAGATGAAATTCCTAGAAAACAAAATATACCAGGACTGTGACAAGAAAAAACAGTAAACTGGAATAACACTACAGCTGTCAAAGAAATTAAGTCTGTGATAAAATTATACCTCAGTGCGCGTGCACACACACACATACACACACACAAACTATAACCCAGATGGCTTCACTGGTGGGAAGAAAAGATCTTACAACATAAATTCTTTCAGAAAATAAAGGAAGAACATATGCCAACATCTCCTATGAGAAGAACATAAATCCTGACACAAAAATCTGACAAAGTTATTATAAGAAGGAAAATTTCAGAACAATATCCTTCATGATAGACTTAAAAAACCCTTAAACAAGATGTGAGCCAGTAAACTTCAGCAAAAAGTTTACTATCCATGACCAAGTGGGGTTTTTCCTCATATGGGCTAGGTTGTTTTCACATTTGTAAGCCATGTAATCTGAACTGTTATACACTGCTAGAAGGAATGCAAACTGACACAGTTTTGGGGAAAGTTTAGCAATTTCTTAATAAACTTAAGCATACGTCTACCATTTAATTCAGCAATCCTACTCCTTTGCACATTTATTTGAGCAAAATGAAAACCTACGTTAACACAAAAACCTACACACTTACATTGGCTTTGTTTTTAAGACAAAAACTGGGAACAACTCAAATGCCATTCAACTGAAAAATGAATAAACAAACTGTAGTATATGTAGAAAATGGAATAATGTTCAGCAACAGAAAGGAACAATTGAGGAATAAACACAATAAGGACGAATCTCCTAAATGAACAAGCAATACTCACAAGGCTGTATACCACATGATTCTATTGAAACAACATTCCAGAAAAGGCAAAACTATAGGGACAGAAAACAGATCAGTGACCAACAAGGGCTGAGGGTAAGGCAAGGACTGACTAGAAAAGAAGCACAAGGAAGCTTTTGATGTGTTCAAACTGTTTTGTTTTGATTGTGGTGACGGATATATAATTATTTTTATTTGTCAAAAAACTTGCAGAATAGTACACTACAAAATGTGAATTTTATTGTATCTAGATTTCATCTTAAACAATGATAATAATCCGGAGAAATATATAATTAGAATATATTTTACAGTTTAATTAGTTTGAGTCTTTACGTCTTTAATGTTTAAGCTATTATGAAACAATTTTTTATATGTATGCATTACTTTTATAATCATAAAAAAAATAATAGGAGGAAATAGCAGGCTTTGCTGGCTTATATGATATGTTGTTGTTAGGTGCCCTCAAGTTGGTTCTGATTCATTAGTGATCATATGTACAACAGAACCAAACATGCCCAAACCTACATCATTCTCACAATTATCACTATGTCTGAGCCCACTGTTGCAGCCACTGTGTCAATCCACCTGGTTGAGGGTCCCCTTCTTCTTCAACCCTCTACTTTTCAGAGCATGATGTCCTTCTTCAGGCTCCAGTCTCTCCTGATACATGAGACAAAGTGTTACCATCCTCCCTTCTAAGGAACATTCTGACTATAATTCTTCCAAAACAGATTTGTTCATTCTTTTGACAATCCATGGTATATTTAATATTCATCGAAGCTCCATAATTCAAATGCATCAATTCTTTAATCTTCCTTATTCATTGTTCAGCTTTCACATGCTTGTAAGACTGAAAAGATTATGGGTTAGGTGAGGCACAACTTAGCCTTCAAAGTGACACCTTTGCTTTTAATAAAGAGGTCTTTTGCCGTATATTTGCCCATCTGACGTACTCGTATTTCATCCACTTAAGAAATTTCAATTATTAGCTAGTCACCAAAAGGTTCAAGAAGATTTCTACTACTAAAAAGTTCAAAAAGTTGTTAAATGACCTACCAACTAGAGGAAAAGCACAAAATTTGAGTCTAGACATCCTTATCAATGAAATATTCTATACATACAATAATAAAAACCATTTATGTAATCTATGGTATCTGGAAATGTTATAGATCCAACATCCATTTCAGTTACAATTCTAGGAAATATATTGTCATAGCCAATTTGACAAACGTACAGTAAGAAGTTTGTTTGCCTGTTAACTTCTGGCAAATTTCCTTTAGTCTGTTGCCATTATTAATTAAGTCAAATAGGGAAAAAGCAAGTTGACAAACACAGAATCTTCAGACTAGGAGGGGTGCTATTTGACCATTGCAACTAATAGCTTCATTAAGTGAAACTTTATGATAAAAGAGCAAAGATCAATGATCCCAACACTGCATCAGAACATTTTGGGAAGTGAGTTAACATATTTTTAATAAAAGACTGGCAAAATAAAAGGTCACAAATGAGCCAAAGAGAAATTCCAAATAAAAAATTAACATACATGTGAGAAACACTAAAATTTATATATATAAATATATACAATTACCTGCCAGATTCATTCTGAGCTACCTGTGACATGTTTACAAGTAGTGTTTTACTAACTTGAAAACACAATGCTGTGTTTAAATTGAATAAAACCTCAAAATTGAATACAACTGTTATTCAATGGCGTTTTACAACTTCAAACATTTCATTAATCTGAAAGAAAGTTACCATTTCAAAAAAATCAGCTATCTTAAAGGAAAGAATTGTGGAGCTGAATTTTACCTTAGAACTCCTTGCTTGGCAATAGACTAAACTAAAAAAAAAATTTGATAATCGATGATATTTAATTTTACAATATAGAAAGCACTTTCTGTCTCTAACAACATGTGGGAAAACGTCACTTTTTCTCACTTCCAATGTTTGGTTATCTACCTACAAAAATGAAGACGTCTTTAATTATTTCAGAGAAAATAAGAGAGATGAGTACAAAAAGATAATTCTGGCTTATTATGATATTGTTGTTGTTGCTGTCATGTACTATGTACCATCGAGTTGGACCCGACTCTTAGTGACCCCTCCCTTGGGTTTCCGAGGCAGTATCACTACGGAAGTAGATTGCCCCATCTTCCAAAAGATGTACCCACAAAATCTGTCAAAGATTTAATTTTGCTAAAAGAAGAAAAAAAATGGATGTTAACTGCTCATATCCATTCTCATTATCCATACATATTGTAACTGCAAATCACCCACAGCAAGGTTGCATTAAATAAGATAATGTATGTTAAGACCACAGAATCATGTTTAGCACTTAGGTCTCAAAAAAATAATAGCTACTATTATCTGAACATAAACTCCTTGAGACTTCTCTGACATGGACACATCCAGTGCCTATCACAAAGTAAGTGCTCAACAATTACCTGTTGACTGATTTAAATACAAATACTATATAAAACTTCATCTTCAGACATGGTAGATATTGTCTTCAGACAGGCTTATATTGTCTCTAGATTCTCAGAGGCAATTTTATATAACTTGTGTTTTTATTTGAAATAGTACTGACCTAGACTTTTAACTAAGTCCAAAACAAAAAACCTTTCCCTTCTATTGCTCAGTTCACATAATCCCCTACCTTCCCAAAACAAAAGAGAACAGTTGTCATTGAGTTGATTCTGACTCATGGAAATCCCATGTACGTCAGATTCCAAGCCACTGCTCCCCTTATGCGGTCACCATCCATTTATCAGTGGAGGCTTGTATGTTGCCATAATGCTAAGCATTTTTCAGCGGAGCTTCCAAACAAAGATGGAATGGAAAAAAAGGCCTGGTGATCTGTTTAGAAACATTAGTCTATAAAAGTCCTATGGATCACAACAGTCAAATCTGCAACCAACTGTGGGGATGGCGTTGGACCAGATACCATTTGGTTTCATTGGACATGGAGTCACCATGAGTTGGGGACCAATTTGACAACAGCTATTAACATGACACTTCCTCCCATGTGGAAAATACTGACTTTTTTTCATGATACCAAGTAAATGTAAGGAGTGGACAAGTTCGTGAGGTTGAAACAAACAAGACAAAAGCAGCTTACAATCAGATGTGCTGTAAGAATGTCGAGTGTATAGTAGGGCTGACAAGGGGCAAGGTTGTGCTGGCTTGTCGACCATAGCCAGCTATGCGGAGGGAGTGAGTAGCTGGACCTGTGGGCTCGGGATCGTGGTTGTAGGTGACATCAAGCTGAAGTGGCATAACATACTACACAAAAACATTGTTCTACATCCTTTTTTGGTAAGTAGCAAATGGGGTCTTAAAAGCTTGCAAGCGACCATCTAGATGCAACGATGGGTCTCTCCTCCTCCAGAGCAAAGAAAAATAGAGAAAATCAAAGATGCATGGAAATGATTAGCCCAAAGGACTAGTAGGCCATGCAACCCTTAGCCTATATGACCATGAGACTAGAACCAGATGGTGCTCCACTGTCAACCACTCGGAAAGGGATCAGTACAAGAGATCCTGGATACAATGGAAGAACAGTGTGGAACAAAATTCAAATTCATTAAAAAAAAAAAAAAAAAGACCAGTTTTTTGGGTCTGACAGAGCCTGGTGAGACCACTGAGACTATGGCCCCTAATTACCCTTTAGGTCTGGAACTGAACTCACTCCTGTGGCTTCCAGACAAACAACAGACAGGCACATGGCTTGAACAGTTACATCAGACAGATATACTCCTTGGAGTGATGAATTGTGGGAGAACAGAAGGGCAGTGTTTGCACAGGGGGACAGCTCACGGAGCAGGAGTGCATGGGAGGGAAGGACACAGGGAAGAGGCAACTATGGGGAGGAAGTGGGAAGAGAGCTGGAAAATTATTAAAGAGAAAATAAAAAGAGATTATGGAAAATCGCAGTCAGTGTCATGAAATAAAATGTACATGAACTGCTGTATGGAAAATGAATTTTCTCTGTAAACTTTCACCCAAATCACAATAAAAATTAAAAGAAAAAAAAAGGCAGCTTACAATCACAGTAAGAATGTAAGACAGGAGACATTTATAACAAATGATGCAGCTTGTTTATATTTTGGTTTAGTCAGGTCTTCAAAGTCACTAACTGAGATGTGAAAAAATGAATAGCTTCTATAGCAAAGTTTCACAGTTAGTATTTGGTAATTTATATTAATGATTTAGTTGGTTTTTTTGCTTCTACAGGTTTTATTATTTAGATTCACATGGGAAACAGTTCAGGCTTCATGCTGCCATTCACTTGATGCTGCAAGTGAGGCTCACAAACTAGATTCTAAGGTAAAAGGACAAAGAAAAATTCCTTGATGACTTGCAGATCCCCTGCAAATAACTAATATTTTCCATCTCCCTTCCAGTTCCCTGGTGCAACAGATTATTATAGCTTGCTTTTACAGGGCCTTTCTGACCATGGTCTTTTAACTCTCACCAAATGATCAGGTGGGAGAATGCAAATGAGGTGCTAGTCACCTACCAAAGAGATTGGATAGCTTGCTAATAATGTAAATAAGGTGCATGGCACCCTTCTGGGAGTGAGACCATGCAAATAAGGTTATGGAACACTAATGAGGGTACAAGTCAGTTTGCCACACTGCCAGGCTTAAAATGAGCCATCTCAGAGGTAGAAAAGAGGGGCCTCCCTATCATCAAGAATGGACAGGAGTGGAGTGCATCCTTTTGATCTAAAGTCACTGCACTGGGAACCTCCTGGACCCAGGAGACAGAAAGAGTAACAACACCACAGACTCTGAAAGATGTCAAAAGCAGTAGCAGAGAAACAGTGGCAGTAGAGGCAGCAGACTGGAGAGGAGATGGCAAAGTGGGTTTCCTAGTCCACAGAGCAAGGCTTGCCAACCCACAGAGCAAGAGCTGACTGCCTTTGGGTAGGAGTCTTGCTGATAAGAGTCAGGTGCTTCTGGGCACTTATCAGCAGAGCTAAAGAGCTCTGTAACACTTGCGCAAGCAGGGCTAAGACCTGGCCAGCACAAGAGGCTTGCTGAGTCAATGGGCTGAGAGGCTGAGAAAGGCATGCTGTGGACCTGGCTGAGAAGAAGCTATCCTGACTTAAGAACTGTATCCTCAATCAATCCAGAATTGTAATCTGTTACTTTCCTAACTATGAGCATGGTCTGTCAGTTTTGTGTGGCCACTACATTAAATTATTGAATAAAACAGAAAAGTGGAGAGTGCCATGGGAGGGACAGTTGATGTCAGAACTGGTATTAAAAAAAAAAAAAAAAAGATGGAGGGCAGAGGCATGTCTGACCTAAGCCCTCACAGGAATCAGTGTTGGGCTGATGCTGTGATTCTCTTCTCATCATGAAGTTACAGGAAGTAAGATGCCCCCAACTGTCATACCATTTTTATAATTGCCCTATAATGGAAGACATAAATGAAGTATGGGACACCCAATACATAAGGAAATGAATCTCTTAGTGTTACCTGATTAACTTTATTGGACATACCCATGTCTTGCACCTCAATATATCTGAATCCAGATTCATAAACACATAAAAAGACAGCAAATAGTGATGCATGTTCAATACAGTCATAATCACACTGATGTAACAATTATCTGGATCCTCTGATGTTTGAGAGATGAAGACAATGGAGGAAAGTGAAAAGTTCAACCTGGTTCCTCTTTCTAAAGGCCTAGTGCAGAAATTATGTTTGCTATGTACAAAAGAAATAGACCAACAACCAAACCAAACTCACTGCCGTTGAGTAGGATCCAACTCAGAGACCCCTCCTTGGGTTTCCGAGGCAGTACCACTATGGAAGTAGATTGCCCAAACTTCCTTCCAAAAAGAAATAGCAGTGACAAATACTATTACATGCACAGTACTGCATAACCAGTGGCACCAAACACTAGGCAATGGGTAAATGCATAGAAATGTGAGAAGATCAAGTGGGGAGAAGTGAACAAGAATATACCCAAGACTAAGGATGGATATGGCTGAAGATAATCTTACATTATGTACTTGTGCCACAAAATTATCTACATACATCACAGAAGAAACAGAGGACAAGGGTTGGAGTAGCTTCTCAGAGACAACCAACTACCTTGAGAGAGAGAATCACCAGGCCTGTGGGCTTGGGACCATAGTCTTAAGGGACATAATGATCAATTGGCACAACATAGTACACAAAAATCTTGTTCCACATCCTACTTTGGCAAATAGCAACTATTTTACTTGAAAGGAAAAACTTTCAAGTGGCCATCTAAGATGCAACTATTGGTTTCCTCTCTCCTGGAGCAAAGAAGTGTGAAGAAAATCAGTCATTTGGAAACAATTAGTCCAAAAATATGATGGACCATGAGGACCTCAGCATTCCCAACCTAGAGACCAAAAGAACTAGATGGTGCCCGGCTACCAATGCCAACCACACGGAGAGGGATTAAAATTGGTGATCCTGGTTGGAGTGGAAGGAAAAATGTGGAAAAGAATTCAAAAACACAAAAATGACCAGAATTACTGGTCAGATAGAGATTGGTGGTACCCCTGAGAGTATGGCCCCAGCAATGTAGGCTTCAGGCCTAGAAATGGACTCACTTTTGTGGACTCTCAGCCCAACAACAGAAAGACCTACATGTAGAACATCTGCCCCAGGGAGATGTACCCTTTAAATCCATCAACCATGAGACCTAAGGGGGGTAGCATTCACACAGAAGGAAAGCTGGACAGACAAGAATGCATATATAATGTAGTGGTAAAGTTTGTTTGTCAACTTAGCTGGGCCTGGTTGAGTGGCTGGGCAGCTGGTGGCAGTTACTCCCCATGATGAGACTGGCAATCACCTTCATTGTGGGACCTACCACAAGCAGCTGAGTAGCTGCTTTAGGGATGAGGTCTGCTTCCCGGATATAAGAAACAGCTTTGGGAATGGTCTCTAGCTTATGGCATGCTTGAACCCTGCATGTAGCCATGTTGTTTGTTTAGCAGCCTGCCATGCACTGCCGACTTTGGGACTTTCAATGGACTTGAACTCATGGCCTGCCTGGCCTGCCGTGTGGTTTGGTAACATCGGGACTGTGCCTTCTCACTTGTTGACCTTGGGTTTGTCTGCCTCAGTAGCTAGCAGCTGCCTGAGTGGAGAGATGCCTCTAGCTCCAGTGGGCCGGGAGCAAGAGGCAGAGCTGAAGCCCAAGGTCGAGGGGCTTTCACACATCCCCTAGAGCCTGGCACTTGGAACTTGGACTTCTAGCCTCCTGAACTGTAAGAGAATAAACTTCTGTTTGTTAAAGCCATCCCATCTGTGGTATATTTCTGTCACAGAGGCACTAGGTAACCAGAACACATAAGAAGGGCACAGGGAGGGAGCAGTAACAGCAAGGAGAGCTTTTTATGGTTTGGGATGGTAATCAGGGCTCTGAAATCAAATGTGCACGAACTATTGAATGTAAAACAAATTTGCTTTGTGAATTTGAACCCAAAGTGAGCGTGCACGCGTGCGCACACACGCACACACAATTACGTTGCAAAATATCAAAAAGGTATTTTCAAAGTAGTCCAGGTGGATGGAATGGGTCAAATCTTTTCTCAGTTGATCTTCTATGGTGACTTTACAAGGGCTTGCAGACAATCTCTCCTTTCTCCAGGATCTTCCTCTCACTCCAGTTCAATGACAAATTTTGGTTTAGAATATGGTATTTGTTTTTTTTGCTTTCAGGGGTTCTGAAGCCATTGTCCTGTTCTCCTGAGTGCTCTCCATGGGGAAGGTACACTCTCAGAAGGTAGAGCTTGTAGACTACAATAAGAAGCCCTAGGATGCCCAAGGAAGAAGAACTTGAGTTAAGGAAGTTTATCAATTCAGAGTCTCAGACTGAACTCATACAAGCTATTAGTTTCCCTTAATATAAACAGTGGTTAACTACAGGCTCAAGAGGTTACACCTGTAAAATGTTGACCAAATGAAGGATGTAAGTCAGTACCTTACAAGGTTAGAATCCTGTGAGAGGACAATAAGGTATGGCAGGAAAATCCAATTAAAACCTTCATTCTTGCTATGAGACATGCCACACATCCTAAACAATCTAAAGCATATACATGTGTTCATGGATCAAGAAAATTTTTATATTCAGTACACTAGTTGTAAAATGCTTAGTAGTGATTTTTCTGCCTCATGTGGACATGAGATTTTGCTTCCATTAACATAAAAAATAATTACAAATAAGATTTAAATATCAATGTATTATGTAAGTTTTCTGATGATGATGTGAAAACAATGAATTTACCTCCTCTTACAAATCCATTTGTAGCTATTGCTGATGTAGACAATCCTGTGATAGTTGTCACAACAGTGGCCATCATTATTACAAGGACCGACAAACCTTTAGGGAAAAAGAAAAGAATACTTATACCGCTATTTAAAAATGCCATATCCAAAACTGGTTAGTTCAAGTATACTAAATTTGCCTTACAACTTATTAATTACCTTATTTTGATCCTGTTAAGAAAATCAATTATGAAAAAAATTAACATTAAGATAACCTGATACAAAGAACAAAAGAATACCAATGACTCCAACTGCTTGAGTTTGATGAGGATGAAGAGTCAGACACGCACACAATGGTTTTGCTTATTCATTATTCTCAAATGAGTCAAGCAGTAAGTAACTTCACTTACCTATTCCAGCTTGACCAACAATCCATGATAATCTAATAAAGAGCATCACACCCCAAATATTTAACATACAACGAACCTAGAAGGAAAAAAAAATGAGGTCAAGTCACATACGAATAAATGTGATCAAATATAATACAGCAGTAAATGCTAAGCTAACCAAAACAGAATAACATGCATTTGCAACTACAAAAGTATTTTAAATCTGCCTGCTACCCCACCATTTTCTTAATTTTAAAAGGAGCTTAATGAGAGCTTAACTGAGCTAAGTACTCATACACACATAAACATACACACAAACACACACATATCCATCCATTCATTCATCCATCTATGCATCCTCAGGTAGCTGAAAAAACAAAAAGAACAGAAAATGTTCACAATTACCTGAGGCAGCAGAAGCTACAGAAACATAAAAGGAGTATTTCAAGACCTCAGACATTAAAAAAACAGTTCATGTTCCCCTTCATCAGTGCAAGTAAGTTTTTTTCTATTATTCCTTACAAATATCCTCATTCTATACAATTTCTACAGATTTAAGTATATAATTACATGTGTCAACACTAAATGTCACTCGTTCATATATTTTTTTAAAATCTAAACTATTTGTGTATTCCTTCCATCTTCTTTTGATTTTTCCTGCATCATAGAATCTTTCAGTATTGAAACTTGAGGCTTGAATTTTTTCTTCAGTTCTTTCAGCTTGAGAAATGGTATGTTCTTCCCCTTTAGTTTTCTAACTCTGAGTCTTTGCACATTTCATTATAATAACTGCCTTTGTCTTCTAGAGCCGCTCTTGAAGTCTTCTGTTCAGCTTTTTTATCTTGTCAACCCTTCCATTTGCTACTCTCCATTCAAGGGTAAGTTTGCAGAGTCTTTTCTGACACATTCATTTTGGTCTTTTCTTCCTTCCCTGTCTTTTTAATGACCTCTTATTTCTTCATGGATGATGTTCTTGATGTCATTCCACAATTGCTCTGGTTTTCAGTCACTGGTGTTCAATGAATCAAATCTACTCTTTAGATGGTCTCTAAATTTAGGAACGATATAATGAAGGTCATGTTTTGATGCCCATGGACTTGTTTTCATTGTCTTCAGTTTCAACTTGAACTTGCATATTAGCAATTGATGGTCTGTTCCACAGCTAGCTCCTGGCCTAGGTTTGGCTGAAGATATTGAGCTTCTCTACTGCATCTTTCCACAGATGTAGCCAATCCGAATCCTGTGTACTTCATTTGGCAAAGTCCACATGTATAGCCACTGTTCATGTTATTGAAAAAAGGTATTTCCAATGAGTAAGTCATTGGTCTTGCAAAATTCTATCATGCAATCTCCAGCATTATTTCTATCACCCAGGCTGTATCTTCCAATTACCAGTAATTCTTCTTTGTTTTGAAATTTTGCATTCCAATCTACAGTGATAATCAGCACATCTTGACTGCATTCCTCGTCTTTGGCCTCGAGTTACAATACTGAAAGATTCTATGGGCAATATATTTAATGATTCAGCAAACATCAAAAGAAGACGGAAGGAATACATAAAGTCAGTGTACCAAAAACAATTAGTCATTGTTCATCCATTTCAGCAAACAGTGTATGATCAAGAACCAATGGTATTGAAGAAAGAAGTCAAAGCTGCACTGAAGGAATTGGCAAAGAACAAGGCTCCAGGAATTGACATAATACCTAGTGAGAAGTTTCAATAAACAGATGCTTTGTTGGAGGCACTCACTTGTCTATGCCAAGAACTCTGGAAGAAGCTACCTGGCCAACTGACTGGAAGAGATCCATATTTGTACCCATTCCAAAGAAAGGTGATCCCACAGAATGTGGAAATTATAGAACAATATCATTAATATCAAATGCAAGTAAAATCTTGCTGAAGGTAATTCAAAAATGGCTACAGCAGTATACTGACAGAGAACCTCCAGAAATGCAAACTAGATTCAGAAGAGGATGTGGAATGAGGGATATCACTGCTGATGTCAGAGGGATCTTGGCTGAAAGCAAAGAAAACCAGAAAGATGTTTACTTTTATTTCATTGACTATGCAAAAGCATTCGATTTATGTGGATCATAACAAATTATGGATAACACTGAGAAGAACGGGAATTACAGAACACTTAATTGTGCTCATGAGGAAATGTGTACATAGGCCAGGAGGCTGTCGTTTGAACAGAACAAGGTGATACTGCATGGTTTAAAATCAGGGAGGGAATGCGTCAGGTATATCCTTGTACCATATTTATTCAATCCGTATGCTGAGCAAATAATTTGAGAAGCTGGACTATATCAAGAAGAGTGTGGCATCAGGTTTGGAGAAAGACTCAGTAACAACCTGTGATATGCAGAAGACACAACCTTGAGTGCTGAAAGAGATTTGAAATACTTACTGATGAAGATTAAAAACTACAGTTTGTAGTACGGAGTACATCTTAACATAAAGAAAACGATAATCCTCACAACTGGACCGATAAGAAGCATCATGACAAATAGAGAAAAGATTGAACTTATCAAAGATTTCAAATTACTTGGTTACACAATCAGTACCAATGGAAACAGCAGTCAAGACATCAGACGACTTATTGCACTGGGAAAATCTGCTGCAAAAGGCCTATTTCAAGTGCTGAAGACCAAAGATGTCTCTCTGAAGACTAAGGTCCACCTAACCCAAGACATGGTGTTTTCAACTGCCTCCTATGCATGTGAAAGCTGGACAATGAATAAGGAAGACCGAAGAAGAGTTGATGCTTTTGAGTTGTGGTATTGGCAAAGAATACTCAAAGTACCGTGGACTGCCAAAAGAATGAACAAATCTGTCCTGGAAAGAAGTGCAGCGAGAATGCTCCTTGGAAGAGAGAATAGCCAGACTTCATCTCACCTACTTTGATCATGTCAAAACGGCCCATTCCCTGGAGAAGGATATCATGCTTGGTCAAGTGGAGGGTCAAAGAAAAAGGTGAAGGCCCTCAATGAGATGGATTGACACTGTGGCTGCAACAATGGGCTCAGGTATAGCAAGGACTGTGAGCCTGGCGCAGGACCAGGTAGTGTTTCATTCTGTTGTACATTGTTGTTGTTGTTGTTATTTGCCATCGACTCGGCCCCGACTCATAGTGACCCCTCCTTGGGTTTCCGAGGAGGTATCACTACGGAAGTAGATTGCCCCATTTTCCTTCCGAGGAGTGGCTGGTGGGTCTGAACCACCAGTCTTCTGGTTAGCAGTCAAATGCCTTAGGCACTACGCCACCAGAGCTCCTTTGTAAGACACAGTCTTCTAAAATACTTAAAATCTAAGAATAGATATACAATACTACCTTTACATTCATCCTTATGGATGATGCAATAAATTACTACTGGAACTGAGATATTTCCCTCTACTTTTCCTCTAAATGCCAAAACCCCAATTTAAACTATCTACCTTGATCAGTTTAGTGCTT